ATCATCCATTGCATTAATAATATAATTTAATACAAGTGTGTTCTGTTAAGTTTAATAGACACCAAAAATATGAAACAAAATAAAATATGAGTCTTGAACGAGCTCCATCTTCTCAAAACCTGGCACCGGTACCTGTCTACTGGTGACCTGAGAATACAAGTTATTTTGAAAGAGTTTATCAGCTTTAAGCTGGTGAGATCATAAGTATTTTAGTGTCATTGCTTGTATGAAAGTGTTTGTATGAACTTGATGTATAAGTGTGTAAATGTTTGTGTATGTTTGTAAATGTTTGTATATGTTTGTATCTCCTAGAAAATCCTATATTTTCTACTAAATGTAGCCTTCTACCAAGGCATCAAATGAAATGTATATTTGTTTCTTGTAAAAGTGTGTATTTTCCCAAGTATGACTATCATTAACCAAAAATATAGTTTTTACATTACTTTTCATTGTGTGAAGATCACAAAGTGAATGCAATGGGGAAATATAAAGTATTGTAGTGTTGTATTAAGTAACTACTACTGTACTAATTACCTTAAACCAATTTGTTATTTAAAGTAACATGTGGTATGCCTGTACCATACTACCGACTATAAACACGACGATGAAAGACGTCAGAAGAAATGACATTTGGCACCCGTAGACTTGCAAGTCCCACTGTAGCGAGCAGTAAGGTGTAGGATAGTCAATCCAGTATAGATCTATACACAAACTCAACGCTCTCTATTTAAGGAGATTCTGGATACAAAACGAGTCATGACAGGTGATGTCATGCCCCGTTACGTGGCTCACATAACTGTTGCAATGTTCTTGTATATGTATTGTATGTACTAGCTGTATTGTATGTTCTCTCTCTGTCTAGTATGTATGTATGTTCTCTCTGTTTCTCATAATAGTATGTTCTCTCTGTATGTTATCGTTTGTTTCTCGTTATAGTATTCTCAATCTGTATGTTATGTTTGTTTCTCGTTATAGTATTCTCTATCTGTATGTATTGACTCATGTATGAACTGACTCATTGTGTGTTTCACTGTTCTAGTAATAGTATTGTAACTTCCTAAACTATACCTATTATAGTTTACTAGTAATGTTGTTTGTATGTATGAACATGTTTGTATACCTTTGCTACCCAAAGGTATTGAAATGAAAGAAGTAACTTTTATATCTATATACATATAGATATTATATAACTAGGATTCAAACGACCTTCGGACAAATAACCGATACCCTAAGTCCACAACCAAACAAGGAACATGAAGCAAGGAGAGCTATCAGTCCTAAGTCCTTTCAATCCTACTTATATAACTATATCTATATAGATACACATTTGACAAAGTATAAGTTTAAAAGAGTTTGAATAGAAAGTATTTAACATGTAAAAGAGTTTGCAAAACAGTTTGAAGTAGTTTGATTGATAACATAGTTTGAAAAGTAAGAAATCCACTTGATTGGTAGTTATTAATCACATGTGATTGATATAAAAACTATAATAGTTCAACTTGTATCCCCCCCCCCCCATAAAAGCATTTAAAATCATTTAAAAGGTTGATTAAGGGGTATGAACTCACCTGTAGTGAGTGGTTTGGATGAAAGTGCTGGATAGGATGCTAAGTGTCAAGTGAAGACTTGAGCACACACGCGGATCCTATTTAACATATAATGATACATATATGAATACAATTAGTGCTTATAACAACTAATTATTGAATTGGAACCACCTTAGGGACTAGTAAACACTTATTTTGAAGTGTTACAACCATATATGATTGTATATAAGGGGTATATGGCTATACAAGGGAGTGTATGGTCAAAATGCACAATTTTTGTGTGTGTGCGGCCAGGGTGTGCGGCCAGGGTGTGTGTGTGGCCGCACACTCCCTATGAAATGTGCCAAAACGTATTTTAAGGCTTTAGGACTCATCTAGGAAGGTTTCTTACTTCATGCTTTAGCCTTATATGGAGTTCATTGCCATTTTTGGACCTAAAAAGGGTGTGTGCGGCCACCATGATGTGTGCGGCCGCACACCCTTTATGAAGATGATAAAATCATGTTTTTCTAGTATATCATCAAGTGTTCTTAGCATATAACAAGTTATGATAAGTGTATACACGTTATAGAGGCTTGAAAGGGTGATTACGGTCCAAAACTAGTGTGTGTTCTTGGTGTTCTTGACTAAAGATGGATGTTTTCATGGATCAAAGCAAAGGGTTTTGCTAGTTAGGGTCGTGCATCAACAATTCAAAATGAAGAATTACTTACTTTTATGAAGATCAAGATGAAGATTTGGATGATACTTGAGAGGATTTCGAGTTCTAGTCTTGAAGAAGTGGAAAAGTGTTCAAAAATGACTAAGTGTTGAATATATAGGGGAGAGTGTGCGGTTGGGATGGGTGTGTGGCCGTACACACAAGTGTGTGGCTGCACACTCCATATGTTGGAGTGTTTGGCCCGATTTTGCTTGATATGTATCGAGTTATCCCATTTCTAGGCTTCTACCTTGATGGTACTAGGTTTAGAACACTCAAATAGACTCTAAACAGTGCTAAAGGATAACAAAACGAGTCTAATTTTGGTTGAATCGATCTATTGTACATGATAAAAATTTCAGGTTGTCACATTAGCCATATCACATAATGTTAGATTAAGAGAATGACAACCACAAGGAGTGTAAAATGCTCTAGGATTTATATCTAAAAATCTCTTTTGCACTCCTTGGTGTTTTCCTTTCATGTTTGCTCCATTATCATAGCCTTGACCACGCATATCATCAATTTCAAGACCAAAAGAGTTTAACTCCTCAAGTGTAATATCAAATAGTCCTTTTCCGGAGGTATCATCAACATTCAAAATACCTAAAAATGACTCCTCGACAGTAATAGAATTATATGATAACTTTAAATATCTCACTATTATAGTCATCTGTTCTTGGTGACTTGAATCGGGAGTACAATCAAGTATGATTGAGTAGTACTTTTCTTCCTTTATTGTCTTGATAAGTTCTTTTTTAATTTCTTGAGCTATCAAAAGTATTAGTTCGTTTTGGATCGTGTGCCCAAGATAATGCACATGAAGTTCGTCATTTGTGATCCGCCGCACATGCTCTTTGATAATTGGGTCAAACTCTTCCAACATTTCAATGACACCCAAAAGATTTCCATTACCTGTTAAATATATTTAACAAATAAGAAGTGGAATCAATCATAATAATTAACAAAAAGGTATTTGTTGAAATTGGAAAAAAAAAATATACAATCTATAGTTACCTTTTTTATACAACTTTTCATTTGATCCACGAAATGCTAAATTATGTTTAGCAAGAAACTTCACTACTGCAATGATTCGCAAAAGGACTTGTTTCCAGTAATCTCTTTCTTTCTTGAATTGCTCGTAATGAACTTTATCAATTGTTTCATTCAAGTTCAATCTTTTACGCATATCAAACCACTTATTCCTATTTGTGAGATGATCCAAGGAAATTTCGTGTTCTTTAACTCTACTGGTAACATGGTGCCAATCCGAATAACCTTCGTCACCTAATTTACCTTTAGAAATCCCTTTTCTAAATACTTTACAACAAAAACAAAATACCTTGTCGAGCTCTTTCGAATATACTAGCCATTCTCTATCACACTTCTCCAAATTTGGTAAAGTTCTTGTATATAAAGCTGTAGAAAATCGTCTACCAGATTTATCGTAGGGACCATACATAATACTAGTATCTCTTTTAGGATCCTTCTCAACCAAAAGTTTAAGCTCTTCATAATTAAGTTTTTCCCACCTTCTTGGATCACATATATCAACAAGCTCTTTAACAGGCTCTTGCTCTTCTGCATCTTCTACTTCTACTTCTACATTTTCTTGGTGTTCAACATGCTCTTCAACATGCTCTTCAATAGGCTCTTCAACAGGCTCTTCAACAGGTTGTCTATGAATAAACTTATCTAGAGCACCGATATCGGCCTTTCTGTTTTCTTATTCTGGTTTTCTCTTTTTACGTTTTTGACTACCGGATGGTTGTTTAGACTTCATCACTACAAGTTCATTACTTTCAACTTTTAATATTCAACTAAATACAAAAAACATAATCCAATAATTTGATTTCAGCATCTGATAAATTTCAACATAATTTCAACATTCAATCAAATAAACAATTTCAGATTTTAGATAATATCATAATAATCACAATTTCAACATTCAACAGAATTTCAACACTCAATCATATAATCAGAATTTTGATTTCAACTTAATTTTGATTTTCAATCAATAATCACATAAACAACATTCAATCTTAATTGAATTAGTGAATTTTGATTATGATTCAACTTCAATTATTCTATAATGATTCAAGTTCAATTGCTCATCAATCCTCATTCAATTATACACTAATAAAACTATTAATATGATTATCTCAATAAATGAATAATCAATTAGACAATTACCTTATTTGAAGTTACGAACGATCAAACTTCAGTGCTTCTCTTCTGCCGCAGCCAATTGATAGTCAATCAATTAATCAATAATAAAATTGATGGATAATCTCTAAAGAGTAAAGCCCTTGCTGCCGCTGCCGACTTGCTGCCTTAATTTGTGGACTAAGAAAACTAAATTGATTTGGGCTAAGACATTAAAAAATGGGCTGCAATTGAAATATATTAAAAAAAAAAATTTGGGCCCCTTAAAAAACAAGGCCCCTGTGCACAGGCCCTGGTTGCCCCCCCTTACCACCGGCGATGCTACAAAGTCATATTGTCCGAAGTTGACCTCTGCATGGTGACCGGAAGCTACCCAGATGATTGTTGTCAAAATTCCGATTAGATCATTTGGTGTTTGGAGAAGAGGCCACCATGGTTCGTCTTTTTTGTCTCCATGTCCGACTATTCTGATCTCTGTCCACCATGCATGAAGCTCTGAATCCGATTCTACAAGAATCTCTTCTGGCTAGTAATGGTTGACATCTGTCGACCATTACTACCCAGAAGAGAATCTTGTAGAATCGGATTCAGAGCTTCAAGCATGGTGGACAGAGATTAGAACAGTCGGGCACGCAGACAAAAAAGACGAACCATAGTGGCCTCTTCTCCAAAACACCAAAATATTTAATCGGAATTTTGACAACAACTGGGTAGCTTCCGGTCACCATGCAGCGGTCAACTTCGGGCAATATGACTTTGCAGGATACATCCCAAACAGGACGACCATCGCCTGAGTGAAGATTCCATGTGAAGATCCTACCAATGTAGAATGGGAGGTTTTTAAGTGTAGGATAGTCTTCAATGGTTAGCTTTAGACCGTGTGGCGCGAATCTGAGTCTTTTACATCCATTCACCTAGCAATAAGGTCAGCTGGTAATGCTTCAAGATCAAACCGCCATTGTTGACCATACGATTGAACTCAACTCAATGCCATACTTTCCTGGTGAAAAACAAGTTCGATAATTCCACCAGAATTTATGAGAGCTTCCCGAGCCAAAGCATTGATATCCATTGTATATTGGAAATGAGTGTGTAATAGATTATGTTTCGGGTGCATTTTGCTAATTTGCTATTGGTCACAATTATATATGGTTCAGTACAACAGTGTGTTGTCATTTGTGAACCTGACAATTTGAATCAGACTATCTTAAAAAAACAACTTTTAATAAGATTATGGTTCACTTCAAATCTTCAATAACGGGTGTGTGGCTAGTTACTTACCAGTGACTTACTAGTTGATGGTAACCACTATCATGAACAAGAGCATGCCCTTTAGCAAGCTTCCATAGCCAATCACCTGTTGCATCCCAACATGGAGTGAATACTCGCTTCCATTGAGGTTTCCCATTGCCAGGTGGCCTAACAAGCTCGATTGCCGATGGTCTTAATGTTCCAGATGACATAAGAAACATCAGCGTTCTTGATCCGTTTCAAATTGTTCTGAAATTTTTTTGATCTCTAACTTTGTTTACATATGGAAGGAACATATCATGATAATCTATAATGAAAAGCTTTTTGTTCTCTATTGCCTGCATACGACGTAGGATTAACATGGTTGGTTCATTTTCACGTTAATTTATGATTTTTACATAGTTAATAACCATACCTCCTCCAGCGTGCAGAAGCCTGTGATCGATCTCTTTTAAAATGATCTCTTTGGTTATTGCCGATTCAGGTGGCCCACACACCTCAGGATCAAGTTTGCTGGCCATTCCTGCACATGCATTTTCATGTTTACTGTTTAGCCTTCTATTTAGTTGCTAAAAAAGCCTCCGATTTTACACAAAATGAAATTGGTTCAATTTTAACCCCTAGCCGGATACAACAGGTAACCCAACTGATGAGGGGATGAGTGGGCGCAGCTGCTGACCTGGCTGCCACGTCAGCGATTACTCCTTCCACACAGAAAAGAAACATGCAAGCTTGCAAAGGGGGTGAGGGGGATTTGGACTCAGGTATTCCGCTACGCAAGGTTTCAACCCAAGCTAAATGGATTTTTTATGTTTTACTTCCTAACATATTATATTTAATGTGTATAAAACTTATTATTATTTTTATTATTATTATTATATATATTAAAGTTGTGAAAAGTTTTAACAGTAAACATGAGACATTTTGCCCAATTTTGGTCCCTTAAATTACATTTCCGGTCCCTCTATTTTTGTTTCATGATTTGTTGGCAAAAATGGCCCATAGGTTTTCATATTTTGAGTTGTTCAGATTTTTGGCACGGTATTGACAATTTGGTCCCTTAAAGATAAGGATGGGGCTGATACGTGTCGTTCCCACGTCCCCCCACCGGTTTTGCCTTATCTTCCCCCCACCCGCTTTCCAGTTCCTATCCTAAAGCGAGTCGACCTAAACAGTCTTCTATTCCTCTTTCGATCCGTTCTTCTCATCAGATGTATGCCCAAAATTGTCCGTCTGGAATCGCTTTGGACTCCATTCCATGTCGGCATCGCCGGGAGAAGAAGGCGGACTAACGTTACCTTCGTCTATACGCTTTCACTTCCATTCGTTCCAAGAAATCTCCCATTATGACCGATTTCTCGATCGACAATCGCTATTAACCGCCTTCTTTCAATCGATTTTGCAACCACAGAGGATGACCATCGTTTCAGGTTTGCAAAACCTCTTCGATTTCCGTTTCGTAATCCAATTTTGCAGGTATTTGTTCGATAAATGTCGGTTTTTTCACACACATCAACGTTTTACTGATTTTTTCTCCGCCTCTGAGTTTGTTGTTTCAGGCTCAACTTAGTTTATTCCTTCCTGTAGTTGAAATTCATTTTTTGATTTCACCCAAGATTAGGGCTTTGCGACTCTCCCAATTTTGAAAGGGAAGCAGCAACAACCAACAACACATATCAACGCTAATGTTAGTGGTGGTGCGACAACGTTGGCTGCCGGTGGCAGTGGCTGGAGGTGATGTGGGGTTGGACTTTCCTTACCGGTTGAAAGCCTGCGTTTGACATCGTCGCACCACCAAAGAAAACATACCATGCCAGGTGATAGGCTCCAGAACCAGAAGGACTACCGCATTTATCCTTCAATCATTACAGTCGACTTTTCACAGTTTCGCACCCAATGGGTCTGTTGGATTTTCATAAATTTCTCTGAAGTTTACTATGAATTAGGTTAGGGAATAGTTATTTTCTCCTTTTCTACTGCTACGTTTTGATTTTTTCTATTTGCAGGTTTTTCGTTGTACACCATGTTGGATCCGATTTTACCTAGGAGCTTCGTTGCTTTCAGACTGCCGCTTCGTTTCAGGTACGAACCTTGAACAAATTACAGTGTTTTCGTTGACTAGATTGAGATAATTGAAAAAAAAATATGTTTAAATTGTGTGGTTTTGACCACTTTTGTATTAATTTCACTTATCAGAACCGGCAACAACACTTCAGTCAGGTGTCACTTTTGGTATTCTTGACAAAGCTGTTCATATCCTCTCTATGAAACTCTGCCTATTTAATCGATTTCTAATTGTTTGTCCACTTCTATACAACGTTTTTTGGGATGCAACGTATAAGAGATATACACCAAAGACGAAATTCATGTACATCCTACATCTTATTGAAAAGGTTCTACATTAAAATTGATTATATGAATTCCTCAACTCATTCTTTTGAAACATATAAATTTAATGTTTGTATTCTATATGCAGAATTCTGGTGGGATCATTGCTCTACCTGATGAAGCCTGGTAAGCAACATTCAAACCAAATGCATATGTATCTTCATATTAACGTTCTTATATGCATTTACTTTTTTCACAAACATTGAATATAGATCTATGTACTCATGTTCAGTATTGTTGTTAGTAGTTATTTCTTTTTCTGCTATATTTTTGAAATACTATGACCGTAATATGCACAGCTCTACAGTTCTACTATCTGCCACTGAAGCCTCTTTGTTTCTTGATAATAATAGTATGCATTCTAAAACTATCAATAACAGGTAGTTAATTAATCATTATTGTACACAATACAATACTACTTTTATTTGCTTTCTAAAAAATTATTAAGGTTTTCTGGGGTTGATGCTATGTTCTACCTGATGTTTCTTTTGTGTTTTGATGCAGTCTGTGCCTACAACCCCTCTCATTTAGTAAAGATTGTCCTATTGTGAAACTGAACAGAGGAACATGAAGTTGAAAATTCATTGAATCTTTAGTTGTCAGCCAAGTGTTCGATCATTTGCTTGAGTGAGTCTTCTAATCATGATTGATCACGGTGGAGGCTGGTCTTCCTTGCAGCAATAGTGGTTTATGACAACAAGAAATTAGGGTTCATATCCCATTTGAAAAGAAGGTTCATTTCTACAATCTCACGTCTCCATTTGAGTTGGAGTTTCTTCTTTTTGTTCACAATTCTAATATTTGTGATAAAATTATCAGGAATAAAATGTCACTGGGAAAAAATTACATCCCGGGGTTAGTAAAACATATGAGTTCATTACGTAGAAAGAGGATTCTGATTTTAAACGAAATTGATATCGGTTCTATCGATGCTTTTTCTCCGACACACATGTGACTTTTTTCCTTAATACTATGCTCATGTGAAATTTCTAATAATTTGGATATGAATTTAATGCTTTAGAATTCAAAGGGTATTTTCATAAAAGAGTTAACGAAGGAAAAATAGAATTTTTCAATGCGTATATGCTTTTTTTATTCATGACAATAATTAGATATTTTATCTATTTTCATTTTCTTGATTCAATATGGACAAATATTTTAAATTAAAGATGGTTTAGCTAAAAGTTTAAAAATAGAAATGTAATTGATGTATTTATCAAACTTTTGCAAATATCAGAAGGGATTAAGTGAAGATGATGTTGGGCAAAAATTTAAAAGTCATATTTTCAAAAGTCAATGGCTGTCAAGATGAAAATAAATTGAAAACTGTTTTATTGTTTGAAATTTCAGTTAATGCAGTACATTTTAGAAATTACTATATTTATGTAACCACTAAAATAATTACATACTTTATTTGATGCTTAATTCTTTTTAGTTTCCTTTTTGTTTACTAACTTTTGTTTAATGATTTTGTTAAATGCACCCTTTTTTCAAGGACCCCGTGTTCTTGGAACTTTGTTGTCAATTGGAAATGATGGCAGACCAACAGGTTCTTCAGCAGCTACAATTACGAGAAGAAACAACAAACAACCTTACTTGACTTGGATTTGTTTAATTTTGGTCAGTAAATCTATATCATCACAGTGTTGTGGTTGATTGTTTTTTGTAAATGCGATTGTCTTAAATATAGTATTTCATCCTATTTTTCCGTGTGATTCGTATGTTTTCAAACTTATTTATAGATGAAAAAATTACATTCAGTCTTAGTTGCATTTATTCTATTCATTTAATGTTTCATATTGGACACACTTTATTATGAATAGTTCTATACCTTTCCTCTTAATGTTTGATATTGGAGGCATTTTATTTGATCCGTGGAATCCAACTCTCCAGTTTCATCCCATCAACCAAAGGATAAACCCATTAAGTATATATTTCGATAAATAGCTTATCCGACAACAAAAAAATTATCCATGACGAAACAATATTACTGCCCCATAACAATACTCAAACTATAAACAAATAGTTGATCAAATAACATTTACAAAGAACAAACAACGGAAAAAATTGTCCCATCCGACCCCCGCAACGCGGGGTTCCCCACCTAGTTATTATTACATGAATTTATACATGCAATTTTGATATGTATAAAAAACAGATTTATATATTTAAAATCAAATTTACACATTTAAAAAAGACACTTATAATATATAAATAAGTTTTTTAAAGGTATATATATAGGTATATGCATCTATTCATTTTATACCTATAAATATAGATATAACCGAGTATTTCGGGAAAACCTGTGAGCTTTATGACATTAACCCAATAATCGACAAATTTTCGAAGGGTTAATGACCGAATGCTAACCAAGGATGGCTTTGCAAAGGAAAATTCCGTGCCCCACTTTCTAGTAGTGCTACCGAAGGTAAAACTCAAAAATCATATGAAACTACTAAAGGTTTATTTGCATTATTGAAGAACATATTGAATCAAGTTATTGATTTTTTGTAATAACTAAAACTTGTAAGACTTCAAATACAATATTGGATAGAGACTCATCATAAGATCAATTAATTGCTACCTTGTAGAGAAAGAAAACCCGTTTCTTGGGGTTATCAAACTTGGAAAGAACCCACGAATTACACAAGACGCTAATGGGGCCGGTGGAGAGGCCTTCAGTTACAACAGATTCTACAAACATCTCCTTTTGATGTTTGTTCTCAATCATAATAACCCCAATAGACCCAAAATCTTCGGGCACTTCAAATTTTGCAAAATATTCTAAGTCGTCTGCTTTTTGACTAAATCGATGAGCATAATCCTGTATATC